AAGAAGATCATTGCTTACTCCTCAGTAGCCCATATGAATCTGGTGACTATTGGTATGTTTAGTCGGGCGGCGGCCGTTAGGTCACCTATTTTGAGTTATGGACACACAAGGCCAAAACATGTGTGCCGGGCGTGCGACCCATCAACCTACTAGCAATGGGGGAGAAAACATAGCATGTCGCAACAAAAGCTTGATTCGAGGCGTCAGCAAAACAAAACACTGCCGTCTCTTTCAAAAACAAAAGCCCCTTAGCGCCCCGGGACGGGAGTGGGGGACGGCCCTACGCGCAGGCAACAGCAGCACCGGCGCTACGAAGTCAGAATCGAACCCTTCTGTTGGCTTTCCCAATTCATTCGTGAATAAGAATTCAAGGGCTAGAAGCGCTCGCTTCTAGCCGCTTCGCCTGCTTCTTATTATGGCGGTTGGCGTGGCGGAAATGAACGAAAAGCGATATGAACGTGCAATTTTCAAATAGATTGATAGATAGCCTGATCTGTTCTGATGGATCGAAAGAGTAGGAATGGATAGAGAGGGAATCCATCAATAATAAGGGGAAATCTCCTATTTTTATCTATAGATGAGACAACCATCTATTCTTGATCCATCAGAAAGAAATCGATATGTATCTGATGGAGTCTACTACATCGTACGTAGAACGCCCAAGCGCTTTTAAGGCCTGCTCAGTCAGTTCTCTTATCCATCGGTCCAATGCACTGGGCTCATCTCATGGAGGGAAAAGCCAAAATGTAGTTGTGTTGTTGTTCGCCGCCTCGACGCATTCCCTTCTCTCCCCGGCATCGTCCCACACAGAAAGAAAGAGCGCAGAGCCCCGGCCCGACCTGTAGGTCCGCTAACGTAAAGCGAGGAGTTTAGCCTGAACCGGCAAACCGAAGTAACTTTCGGAACCATACTTCCTACAGCTAACACGTGTCCAGTTCAGCGGGAACGCGCAGCGCAAACGAACGTGAGCTGCTATACCGAATCCCCCGCCGGCCATCGGGGACCGAGTGGTAAAGCCATGATCCGCAGGGGAACGGATCACTCATTCTTCCATTGGGGACAGGTGCACGAACGACAACTCCAAACGTCACACATCCGTCGCCTACCTACCGTTTAGGTGGCACCAGCGAGATCCAGCTAAGGTAAGGAACTTCGTGTCGCGGCTGCTCCACTCCGCCGCGGTCCCATGAGCTGAACTTCGTTGCCTTCCCGCGCGCGAAGCGGATGGGTGCCGCGCTGCGGGTCAGTTTCGGGGCGGGGGGGCAAATAGAGACCAGAAGAATGATTCATTTGGATCGACGAGCTTTTTCAGCCCCAAAACTAAGAATCAATGGAATGTCTGTCTATCCATGAATATCTATTCTATCTGTATATCTAGGGAATCACTTTATACATATAAAATTATATTATGGCATGATATGATCGCCTAGCTGTAGCCGCATATCAGCTGCGCTCAACATGCGGGATTTCTGTTGGATCAGATCTTTCGCTTTGACGGAAGCTTTTGGACCTAGCGAAAGGACTTTAAGCCTTTGCGCAAGCAAGCGCGAGAGAAGCAAGCAAAGTAGAAGCTTTGCCAGAAGCAAGACGAGGAAGCGGAGCAAGCCCCCCGACCGACTAAAATACAACAGTCGCGACCTACTTTGATTCAAAAGAAAGGCGAAGGGTTTGGCAACAAGCAAACGGCTTTCTATCATAGTTGCAAGAGTTCCAAACCTTAACTACTTAAGTACCAAAGGCTGCTTTCGGTTGGTTTCATAAGGGGGCTGTTCACTACAAGCTATCAGTGCTGTCTTAGATTGAACGGCAATAAGATAAGTCGACGTTCAATCTCTAGGGCGGGTTTCCGCTGAGAACGGAATAGTGTTCGTGTCCAAAGGCGAACAACGCCCTAGCTTCTAGAGTTCGCTGCTTTTCCCAGGCCGGAGAAGGTCTTATACCGCTCGCCTTTGTTTGATATGTTCATTCAGTACCAATACAAACTACAACTACACAAAAAAAAGGAAGGGCCGCTATAGAAGCTAAAAGTAGCCTATAGTAGAGTAGTCGGCCTAACAAAAGCGTCACGGCAACATAAAATTCCCCTTATGAATGTAATCTTAAGTAGGGGGCTTAGGCCGCCCGCCTACCAATCAAAGAGGCTGAGAGTAAGCATAAGCTCACCCGTAAGCTCTTCGAGCTTCCCTTCATTCGCTTCGCGGGAGCCGCACAGCACATAGCTGGAAGTCAGAGGGCCCATACTACCTGCCTAACCCCTCGCTCCGAGGGACCGTAGATCGGAAAGCGCCTTCTAAACCATCCCATTTATCCAAAAGAGAAGGGAAGGGGCCTATTTACTTGCATGACCCCTGCAGATTTTACCCTATCTACACCCGGAGCCAATCTCCTATCGGTCCTGCCGCCACGCCGCAGAACGGGAGCTCGTGTGGAACCTTTTATTTCTGGCGTAACAGCGGTGGCACGTAACAAAATATTACGGTCGCGTAACATAAGGGCCGGAGGTACGGTAAACTCGGCCAAAATATGACACCTAAAGGGCCGGGCGCGCACAATCCTATCCTATCCGAGTCCGAGTTTACCCCTTGCACTTCGGACAGCCGTCCGTAGCATCATAAGGAGGACCTCCCTTTCGAGGTAAAAAAATGGTACGGTACATAGGAGGCTGGTCTTTCTCAACGTGGTGTATAGCACGAAAAACCTTTCGATACAAGAAGGGGCCGTTCACAACATGAAAGAAGAGAAGAAAGAAAGGAGTGATTCTCTTCTTTCTCTTTCTCGAGGGGGAAAGATAAATAGGGTCTTATAGAGGGAGTAAACTAGCTCGACCAAAGGGAGAGGGAGGGGGAGGGGAAAGGATTGGGCCTACCTATCCCGATAGGACCTCATAAAGGAACGGGAGCTGTTGAGAGGTTCCATATTGCCGAGCCGAAGGGCAGCACTTCTGTACGTCATCGTAGTATGTCACGTCGTCTCGTCCCCGCTTGCATTGAAGAGTACCTATGCACTATTTCCGGTTCACTGATAAGGAAGATAGAGTTGGGGTGGGGGTCTACGATGTGATACTCAAGTATGACCCGGGGAGATACATGCTAACTATGGGTAGGAAGCAGGAACCATTATGTAAATAATTTCAGGGAGTTACAGATCTCTTATACTACCATCGATCGACAGAGCGGAACGACTAGAAAAAGAAGTGAAGTTAGAAAGCCGTATGATAGGTGGTAACTATCTTGTACGGTTCGGGGGGTAATCGGCGTACTCCGATCAGTGGGGGAGAATCTTTGGCTCTATCGAACATACAGGGAATTGGAGGTAGCATTCTACCGATGTTAAGTCATGGACTGGTTCCTTCAGCCCTTTTTCTATGTGTTGGTGTTCTATATGACCGACATAAGACTCGACTTGTTAGATATTACGGAGGTTCAGTGAGCACCATGCCGAATCTCTCTACCATTTCCTTCTCTTCCACTTTGGCCAATATGAGTTCACCCGGTACTAGCAGCTTTATCGGGGAATTTCCCATCTTAGTAGGAGCTTTCCAAAGAAATAGCTTAGTAGCCACATTAGCAGCGCTTGGGATGATTTTAGGCGCAGCGTATTCCCTTTGGCTATATAATCGTTTGGTTTCTGGAAATTTAAAACCGGATTTCCTCCATAAATTCTCCGATCCAAATGGCAGAGAAGTTTCCATATTTATACCTTTTCTTGTTGGAGGGGCGACCGTCCGTTGAACTACCAAAGAAAAAAAGGGTAAACCAATGTGATCATGACATTGTAGGTGCTTGCGATGGGACGGATGCGACTTCCCTCAGTTGGTTTGGGTGGCATAGCCCGTTGCAGAAGTCCCCCCTTTTTTTGATCCATTTCTTTAGTCTTTAGGGAGCCAAAGCTTTACTTTACTAATAAAATAAGGCTCGCGCAGGGGCGCTCACGTTTTTTGGCTAAGCCGTATCTTGCTGGGTGGGACCGAGATAAAGAAAGGACGGGGGGCAACCGTACATGGTACTTCTCGACCGTGTCTCCGAGGGACAGTTGAACGAGCGATTCATGAATGCAGCCGGGTTGGACGAGCCAATAACTCGAACGCGTTCGGTCTGCTTTTTGAGCAAGAATCACAGCGTTACCTTACCTTCACCATGATACGGACTCCAAGTTCTTATGGCAGAGCACGAGGTGATTTATCATCAATATGATGATGGGAATGGAAACCAGAAGCACGACCGGGGTCTTCGTGGTCCAAGATAAACCATCAATAACAGTAACGTAAGCATGAGACTTTTTGGTAGTACCGGTGAACCAGACGGCCGCGGCGATGGAATCTGGGACGGAGGACTCGTAGTATCTCTCTAGATCTGGCAAAAGCGAAAGACTCCCTAACGTAATTCGAATGGGGGCTAACCTGACCGCTGAGCCCACCCTGGCCTCGCACCCGTGGTTGCGAGCTGGAGCTGCCATAGCTTATGGCTAGAGCAATGGGAGGGGGCCCTGGCGGAGAGAACAGTAAGGAGAATGGGCGCTCCGCCCGCTTTTCGGGCGGCAGGAGCTGCGGGCAAGTGCTTGGTAGGCCAACAGCCCAGTGAACCGGGCGGGGCACTCGACGAAAGGGGAGCACACTGAGCAAGTACGAGAAAATTTCCCCGCTCCACTTTATTAAAAGCAAGGACCACTACGGGAGGTCAAACCAAGGACCTATGGAAGTCGGGGCTCGTCCCCGGTCAATATTGGATCAAACAATAGGGGGCCGTAGCACTGACCTCTTTTTTATTGATTCAATACAATAGGGGAAAAGATCATACAGTTCCCTACCGAGACAACAGAAACTCTCAACGGATCCTCCGCGCGCTGGGCATACCTCTTCTGTGCGTCTTTCTCGTGGCGGGAACAGAACAACAGGGAAAGACCCGGCCGACCTGCCCAGGGCTCGAGGGTGAGCTTTATTTAAGAGAGAATGGGGAGTGAATCGAAAGGCTTCCGTTTCCGTTCTTGGTTTGGGGGCTTTCGGGCTCCTCTCGATCTTATTCGTAGTTGGGAGGGGGGAAGGAGTCTAAATCAATGGACATTAATGAACCATCATTGATGGACGTTGCACATGACACGATCAATTCGACTCAAGGTCCGGCGCTAATAGAAGTAGCTGACTCTCCTAGCAGCGACGGAAAAGGGCAGTACTTTTTTCGTAGTAATAGTGGGCGGGTCTCATGAGATCTTTTCTAGGATTCCTTATCACGCCACGCACGTAGATCTTTCCATTGATAGGTAAGAGGGCTCCTCTCTTAGCGTTTCACACTAAGCAAGTAAACTACCTCTCCCTCTCCCTCTCCTATGGTCGAGTGAGTCCCTACCTATGGTCGAGCAAGTTTCACTCCCTCTCCTATGGTCGAGTGAGTCCCTACCTATGGTCGAGCTTGTTTTCTTTCAGAACCTTAGCGCAAGCACTAAGTAAGCAAGCTACCTTGAACAGACTCTTAAAGGTTAGGTTACTACCTGCCTCTACGGAAGAGGTGTACTTTGTACCGCCCGGAGGTCATATAGATCGAAACCCAGAGCGATAAGAACGAAAGTTCTACCCACAGCTACAACCACTGGCGCTTCAAAAGGCTTCGTAGATTCTAAGGGCGCTACTGAAAGCCTTTTTTTAGGTCGTGTAATAGGAAGGTAAGGTGTAAGCCTCGAAAGCCTTTGGTACTTCGGTAGGGCGAGCAGCCCTTAAACCAAAAAAGGTTTGGAACCCTTCCCCTATTTCTGCATTTCATTCTCTAGCCTCAAACAAAATTAGAAAAAAGGAGAGGCCTTCGCATTCCTAATCCGGTGGGGGGCCGGACGGCTTTGTTTGCCCCAGCTTGGCGAATCGCATCCCCGCGCAACGACATTGTTTGTGCGCCCCTTACCGTTCTCGCTCAGTGTTTGCAACGGCTGGGGAGGCAGTCGTAGAAGCGAAGCCTATCGCCACGCCGACCATCAAATACGAGATTGGGCCCCTTCTCAAAGATTTGATGGAATGGCCCAGCCCACCCAAGAGCGCTTATGTCATGTCATATGGGAACTCATGGCTGGAAACAATCCTTATGGTTTTGGTATCCGGTAGGAATAATAAAAATCAAAGTCCAGGTTGGTTGGTGAGCCTAGTGATAGGAGACTATCTAGCTTGGTTCGGAGAGCACTTGTTGGGTTAAAGATTTTTTTTGCTAAATGTTACGGCCTAAATGCTGAACTATTGACCCTACTTGTTCGGATGGGTGTTCACCCCAAAGTGTTCCCGGATTGCATGCATACATCCGTAAGTAACTTAGTGCAACATGGCAAATTTCATTGAGAGGAATCAGCAAAGAAAAGAAAAACGGGTCAACATCTTATTAAGATTTGATCGTTGCATTACTGTGAGATGCCCAAAGACTCCCAGGTATTTGTGTCTCCGAATACCTCTCGAGATGTGTTAAATAAAGTTAATTGTAGGGATGCCTGTCACAAAGAACTCGGGGAAGTATCTTGGCGTGCCACTAATTCATGAAAGGGTTTCTCGGAGAACTTATGCAGATTTTTTAGAGAAAGTGCAAGGGGTTGGAAAGCAAAATTGTTGAATATGGCGGTACAGGGATATTCAAAGCATCTAGGAAGAAAGGACGAGCGCTGCGGATATGGCTAAAACAGCGGATACGTTCTAAACCGATTCTTTCACAACTTATTAGATCACCCCCGGTTCACTTCACTCCCTAAAGGCGGATTAAGACTAAGGTAGGCAAGGAAAGAGATATTCAATCAACCAAGCAAAGAACCGATACCACTACCACAGTCTTCACCAGGAAGGAAGAGAGTCGAGACAGAAAGCCAAGACAGTCATCCAGGCATTGGTTACAGACAGGCAGACCAGAGATCGAAAGAGTCAAAGCCAAGGAGGAAAGGGAAAGCCGAGAAGACCGTATTCAATAGGACCGGTTATGAACCCAAGAGCGGATAGGAGTACTCATACTCAAGGACCGGAAGCTCTCACAGCGTCAAGGCAAAGAATCACTCCTATTGGAAGAAGAGCGTTTACGATCAGAGCGGAGGGAATGAAATAGCAGCTACTTCTGTGCGTGGCTATCTTCTCCTATTGATTAACGTCCTTCAAAGAGCGTATTCTATTCCTTCTGTCCGTGGGTGTGGGACTAGTGCAATCATTCCCTTCCTCACAGCTCCTTCTTCTTCTTCATCACCAGGAGTTGATTCAATTGCTAAGAAGGCATTTCCTCCAAGAGTTTCTTCTTTCACAACAACCATGGCATGACTTATTATAGGATTCATCTTTTTCACTCACCATCAACAGGAAAGGACAGTGTGGCATACTCTTATATACGATGAATGTGCAGCTAGGAGAGCAGCTACTTCTGAACTTTCTAACTTCAGCTAGCTGACTGGTTTACTACTGGCTTTCAACCCTTGGGCAGCTATCCTTGGCATGCGTGCTACTGGCCCGCCTACTGAACTCCTACTGTCCTGCTACCAAGCATTCTCTCTTTACTCGCCTAAGGGTGCACTAAGAAAGATTGCTACAACGACAAAAGGAAAGAGTATATACACCCATAAATCGTAGACCGGAACTTCCCCCTTTCCTTTGCAATGACTCCTCTTTTGCTCATGACCTAGCTCGTTTGATAAACAGTTATCGGTAGGCCATTCAATACTCTCGGTTGTCAAAGAACTCCTAGCTCTCGGTTGCAGCGGATACTAGCAGCGTTTACTTGCAGCGTTTCGCTATCCGCTGTTCTTCTAAGCGCTGTTCTATAGAAGGTTAGAGTCTAAGAAGGAAAGCCCTCCTTCCTCTCTCGGGAGGCAGACCACGTTCCAAGCCACCTTGGCAGCCTTAGAGATCCCAACTGCACCATGCCAGAGGAAAGATCTGAGGATCTGGTCAATAACCTTGCACACCTCCTTCGGCAAAATGAAAATGCTACTCCAGTAGACCTGAATACTGAACAACACTGATCTGATGAGCTGAAGTCTACCCGCATAGGAAAGCCGTTTGCTAGTCCAAGATTCAACCCTGTTGGTAATCTTATCAATGAGAGGCCTACAGTCTCTGGCTGTGAGTCTAGTAGAAATAAGGGGCACTCCAAGAAACTTGATGGGCAAGGTCCCTTCTTTGAAGCCAAAAAGGTTCTCAACATTGTGCTTAGTATCTTCATCCATCCCAGCACTGAAAAATTTGTTTTTGTCAGGCGCTCGGAGAGCCCTGAGAGAGCAGAAAAGGAATCAAAACTCTCTTTAATGACAGAGGCTGATTTGGATTGGAGATCTCCTTGGCAGAATAACAGGAGATCATCAGCAAAACAAAGGTGAGTCAAATCCAGCTTAGCACATCTCGGGTGGTGAGAGAACCCTCCATTACTAGAAGCTTTGACAAGGATCCTGGAAAAGACTTCCATAGCAAGAACAAACAGATAGGGGGAAAGTGGATCCCCTTGTCTCAGCCCCTTCCCTCCGGAGAAATAGCCCTCAAGCCCCCCATTGATGGAGACCGAGAACTTGGGGGTGGTGATACAAGCCGCAATGCATTCAATCAGATGGGCAAGAAGGTCAACAGCTTTCAAAATCCCCAGAATGAAATCCCAATGCACTGAGTCGTAGGCTTTCTTCAAATCCATTTTGATGGCACACCGAGGCTTCCCTGTCTTCCTGTGGTAGTTTATAAGAAGTTCCTGAGCCAAAAGGACATTCTCTTTAATCTTCCTCCCTTCAACAAAAGCAGACTGGGTGGGGCTAATGATCTTGGGAAGCAAGCCTTTGATCCTATTAGCAATCAACTTGGTAATACACTTATAGATCGTATTGCAGCAGGAAATAGGCCGAAAATCTCCCATGACTGTAGGATTAGGCACTTTAGGTACCAAAACCATGATAGTGGAGTTAACTTCCCTTAGAAGCTTGCCTGAAGCAAAGAAAGACTTTACGGCTTCTATCACATCCTGACTCACAATCTCCCAAGCACTTTTGAAGAAGTGGGCAGAATACCCATCAGGGCCCGGGGCCTTGTTACTGTTAAGGGAGAACATAGTTCTTTTCATTTCCTCTGCTTCTACGGGAAGGGACAAAAGGCATCCGTCCTCCTGGGAAAAGGTGAAATAAAAAATCCCTCGAATCTCTGCCACCCTTTCCAAAGTAGGGTCACCACCAAAAAGATGCTGGAAAAAGGAGACAGCCTCTTGACTAACAGCTTTATGGTCTGTAAACTTATCCCCCTCGGCATTGTAAACACTCAACAATCTGTTCTTGGACTGCCTAGCCCTCACCACCTTGTGAAAAAACCCTGTGTTACTATCCCCCAGCTTCAGTCACTGAATTCTGGACTTCTGTTTGAGGGAGGCCTCTTCCATAAGAGTGAAATGAGTAAAAACTTTCAAACTCTCTTTTTCCGCATTAGCTAGGTCAGAGTTGGAAGGATCCTGCAAGTGGAGTAACTGCAATCTAGTAAGGTCCTCTCTAGCTTGGGCAACCTTAGAGTTGATGCTACCATAGTGTTTGGAATTAAAGATCTTCAATTCAGGCTTGAGACCTTTCAGCTTGGTGCACAGCCTGAACATAGGTGGGCTAAAGCCCTCCACTGGAGTACTCAAAACTTGCTCAACCAAAGGGGCAAACTCTTCGTGGGAGGTCCATAAATTAAAAAAAAGGAAAGGCTTCTTCCCTGTGACCAACTTCTGCCTGATGGTAACTATCCCCCGGGTATGATCAGAAAGACCTGGCCCTGTGAAGTCTGCTTCAGAGTTCGGGAAGGTAGCAAGCCAACTGTCATTAACCAACACTCTGTCAAGCTTCCTGGCAATAATCTGCTCACTATCTCTGCGGTTGGACCAAGTATAGAGCGGGCCCTTAAAAGGGAGGTCAAACAGATCTATATCTAACAAGCATTGGTGGAGGTCAGTATTATGGCTTCTCCCACTCCCACCCATCTTTTCCTCATGGAATCTAGAAGAATTCAAATCTCCCATAACAATCCAGGCTTGGTCAATCACTACACTGCTCATTCTCTTCAAATCAGCCCCCTCAGATTAACTTCATTCGAACTATAACAAACGGCGGACACCCTGAAATCCCCTTTCTGATTGATGAAGCTGCAAAACACATGGATAATCTGATCACTTCTGTACATAGGGGTCACTTTTAGAATCAACGGATCCCAACCAACCCAAATTCTGCCCAACAATGCATGGTCATAATTATCAAAAACCTCCCAATCCCCAAAAACTTTCCTGCTAATCATGTCTTTATTGATGGATCTTACTTCAGTTTCCACAAGGCCACACAAACTAAGATTATTATTCTTTAGGAGATGTCTAACCTCCCTTTGTTTTGAGGGCGGATCTACGCCCAACCTCACATCCCAGCAACCGAGACTAATCATAAAGGGGCGGTTTTGGGAAGGACCCCCTCCCCCTTTGGGGCTGCTACTTCCCCAAGCTTTCCTATTTTTCTTTTTGGCTTTCTTGCCTTTCCTTTGGCCCCCTACATTCGATTCAGAAGAGAAAAATGCTCCCGAGGACTCTAAGACAAAAAGTATAAAGTCCTCCTGCTGGATACCCCTAGGTGTATGAATTTCCCCCTCTTCCACGACCCCCTCTGAATCTAGGACAGTGAACAAATTTGCCTTCCGAGCCCCCTATGTTGTAGTGGTTGGGGCAGCTTCCCCTTCGTCCAATACCGGCCGCTCTTATTCTCATCGAGATTACCATGTCACGAACTTGATTTGAACCAGCACCCCGGACTTCCCCAGCGAACTTCCTTTTTTATTCTGATCGTGACTTTGGTTACCCGGTTCCCCACGCGGCGAATGGGTACGTCCGGGGTCGATCGTATAGATCGACGCAAAAAAAAATTATTTTAACGAATCGTGCCGCCGAACAAACCTCACCCTAACCACATAAAGCCAGAAAATTAGTGGCAGTTTCAAACCAACAAGAATTCCCAGAAAGTGCTAAATCAGCACTTAGATCCACTAAAAAGTCAATATCACGAAAAAGTGCTTTGTCGTTCGCAATAACATGCTTTAAAATTTTATATGTGGTCCAAGTGGGAGGTAGTATAATATTATGTTGCTCAAAAAGGAGATTAAGTTGTTCTACTATGGTGAATTGCAAAAAATTCACAGTTTCTCCTTTTAGAATGGGGTCATGTGAACGCTCCAAGCTGCTGCTTATGGCAGATACCAGGTGGCCGTTAAGCCTAATTTGTAATAGGGAATGCATGGTTTGGTTGGTGTATTATCGCTCTGCCCCCCCCCCAAAAAAAAAGAGGAGAGACTTGTTCTTGCTCTCCAAGACGGAAATAAAATCGCCGGTTGGGTTGGCCCAACCAAGAAAGACATGGGAAGGAATGGAAAACAAACTCTCATGTTGATCTTCTATATGCAAATTCAGTACTTCGTAATCTCCTGCGGAGCCTTCGCTTCTCCACATGGGCACCTTCGGTGCCTCACGACTACTTTGACTTCGTAACCTGCAGCTGATCCCAAACCCTTTTCTTTACTTACATAAGGGACTTGCCTGTTTAAGGAATGAATAGGATGGAAAGGGGGATCTCATCAGGTCTGTGCTTGCCACTAGATATCATCTGAATGGACGCTTTCTGGTAATAGAAACCCCATTTCGGCCCCTTCTCCCGTTGGGCACTACCTCCGATGGGTAAAGATACCCGTAGGACCATTCCGGCTGTTTTTCAAGCCTCCCCTCACGCCTTTGGCGCCTCTGATGCATCTGATCGAGACAGAGCTCGAAACGTCTGGGCTTCGGATTGATCTTAATCACATTGGGATGGTACGGGGGAACAAGATGGACTCGGTTAGGTCACCCCCGAGTCCTTTTGCTGGAAGTTCGAATGGCTTCTAGTATGGATGTGTCTCGGCTTCGCCTGACGCTCAAGATCGTCTCAATCCCCTCTCCCTAATGGTATGGTCGAGCAATCTCCCGCTGGTTGAGTGCGAAACCCTCTGCTTGCGGAGATCGAAGGCAGGATTATAAAAAGTTTTCCAAGCTTTGGGTTAGGATTGTTCTCTCGAGACCATAGTGGGAATTCCTTAACAACAACATTTTGTGTAAACATGAGGTTACGAAGTAAACGCAGTGAGGTGGAAGTGAAGTGGGCAATCTTTGCCACTGTTGACTTGAACCAGCGTCCAGATATGGAGGGTTGGCTTAGCGGCAAACCAAGTTTGGAGAACAAAAGCCAAACAGGGGCATCCTACCTTTCGTCGCCCTTACGGACCCTACGTCTGTGAAATGACGGAATGATACGAGGGATCCCCCGACGAGTCAGGGAGACGAGAGGAGACTGAGGCAGGACGGTAGTCCTGAGAAAGATCCTGCTGCGAACAGCTCTGTGGCTGGACAGGAGAGAGGTCAACAGCGGCAAGGATAGGAAACTGACCCATATACGTGCGAGGTTTGGAACCCAACAAGCGAGAAACTTTACTTAGTTTAGGAACTCGTCCATCCACGGGACACCTTTCGTAGTGAGGGAACTCCTCTGTTTTTAGCTTGACGAGCGTCTTTAGTTTCCGAAAAACGCATAAACCCCAGGATTTTCGTAAAAGAAAGAGGGACGAGTGACAAGGGACTTGAGTGACTCGCCCTAATCAAAAAGCGGGAGAGGGGCGAAGAAACTCGATCAGCTACTAGAGACGAGCAAGGGCCAGGGACGCGCTCGACGAGCAGACGAGGGACGAGTGGTAGGAGCCGACAAATAGTAGTGCCGGTTCAGTGAAGTCAAGTCTTTACGTCTATAGGGGCTCCCTGACGATCCCGAACCTTCCAAAAGCGGGGGGGTATGTGTTGTTTCTTGGCACTCTCTTTCTTTGTTATGCCAACCTAAAAAGAGATAGGGATACGGGGCTTGACTTGAAAACAAACAACTGGCGCTGCCCCCCGCAGATAGGGCACTTTTTGCCCTCCTTAACCTAAGCCCAGGATACGAAAAAAATGCCTCCCCGCTAAAAAGAACGATTGAGAGTGGATTTCTGGTTCGATAGTGTCGAGAAGGTATTAGCCACCGGTGACCGTGCTTTCGTAAAAGCACCATTGGGTGGTGGTTCCTCTCTTTTCTCTTGAACCCCAAACAAAAAATAGATCTCGCCATCAGCTCGACTAAGAGTTCCTAATCTAAAAAGTAAACTGAACTTGACTTAAGACGAAGGAACCGAGTGCCGAAAAAAAACAGGTTTCTTAAGGCTTCAAACTACTAGTCATTAAGACTACTATGAAAGAAAAGTAAGGAAGTCCTTTTCTTGACTTGGCCCGCGTGCATTATACCTACAGCCTTTTAAAAGAACTTGATTTCAATTTCAACAAAGCAAAGAAACGAAAGCATAACTCTTTGCTTGTTGTCCTCTTACTCTTTTAGCCTGCCTTGTGGAGGTCTCCTGGGTGTCTACGGCAGATCCGATCAGTCTCGTGATGAAGAGAAATCTTTTCCGATCTTCCACTAAGAAATAAGAAAGGTATCGTCACGACAACTAAATTTGCCCGGTAAACTACTCCGGGGCTCCCCATGGTTTAGTAAAAAGGAAGGGAGATTTTTTCTTCATCCGGGGGTCATTTCATTCATTATGAACTAAAAAATGTAAGGCCGATTAGTGAGGTCTTAAAAACTTCATACAATGAATGATCGGCAATTCTATTTGTGCTTTCAGCAAGTAGGCGACGCGAATCTATGGTTTCTATCAATCGGATACCATACCAATTGCTTGGACGCGTTTGAAAGCCTCGAGATGACTTGCAGAAAAAATGCTTTCTAGGGTTTTCTTGTGTCTCCGTAACAAATGGTCCATTTATTGATGGGCGAACGACGGGGATTGAACCCGCGCGTGGTGGATTCACAATCCACTGCCTTGATCCACTTGGCTACATCCGCCCCTACCCCCCGCACAGGTTTAAGTCTCTATCTACGATCAGACCCTTTCCCCCATATGACCGCTATCAAAGAGAAGCTTTTTCCTATACTATAGTTGCAAGTCTATTGTTGTGTTTTGGAATTAGGGGAAGCAAAGCTTCAACAAGTAGAAGCTTCCTGGCAAAGCTTCAAACAAAGAGGTTGGGCTGTTCACTTCATTGATTTTACTTAACTTTACTTAAGATTAAAGATAGGGGCCGGGCGGGCAGTGAAGGCTCGTTTAGTAGACAGCACGGCTTTGACGAGCAGCAAGCACCTACTCCTAACAAAATGAAAAGCAGCAAGCGGAGCGGAGCTTGAAGAAGCGAGCCCCTTTCAGAGAAAGCCATTGCGCGCTAGCCCCCTGTATGGGGCTCCAAACCTGCGCACCCCTAAACTACAACAAGCTTTGAAGCCCCTACTTATTTATGGGATATTTTAAGAAGCCCCTTTCTACAAAACAAACCTTTCTATAATATAAGGGAAGCTCGAAGAGCTTTCTTCGCATGCTTGAGCGCATCTTTCCCCTTTCTATTAGTAAGGTTTTCAAAAGGTAGTTTACTTGCTTACTTGTTAGAGTAAGGAGAAACTTTAGTTTTTTTATTGCAGGGGCGCTAACGAGCAAGAAAAGGCCCCTTACTATTATAGATAGGCTAAGGCGCCTTTACTAATATTATAATAGAAGGCGCTTCTTTTTCAAAGTCAAGTTTCTCGCTTGTTGCTTTAGAAAGATTGCAGGTGAATCTTATCTCCTTCCTTCAGCCGGCTCCGCCCTATCTATTCATCTCTTTTTTCAAATGGATATTTAGGGATCTCTTGTTCATAGATCTTGAAACCAGATCAATATCCATTTCTCAATAGATCTATCTATCGATAGAAAGATATAGATCTCTATCTGGCCATATCTAAATATGGAAGAACCAACACTTAAAGGGCGTACCAACGGAAGGTTCTCACCCTGTCCCCGACATTGTTCGATTCCCATCTCCCTCTTGTTGCTTAGGCAACTTAAACCCTCAACATAGTGAGGTGTGGGGCGAAAGGGGCCACCATTCTCTTTCTTTCTTCAACCGTTCCGATCAGCACAAGTGGGTTGGTTCGTTT